GGGGCAGGGAGACGGCGGGGAGGAGCGGGGCGGCTGCGGCCGTGGGCGGCGGGGCCGAGGCCGAAGGGGCGTCGGTGAAGGGAGAAGCAGCCGGGGGCGCGGTGGACGCTCCTGCGGACCCAGCCCCGGCCTCCCGCTCGGGGGCGCCACCAGCTGCGCTTTCCGGAGCCTCTGCAGGCTGGGCCGTGGTGACACCGCCAACCACTGCCACAGTGACCTCGGCCTCCGACTTCCCCACCAGGTTTTTGGCTGTGCACTTGTAACGCCCGGCATCGCTGAGCGAGATGTTCATCAGGCTGATGACGGACCAGCGGGCCCCTTCCCGCGGGGACTCCTGGATGGCTGCAGGAGAGAAGGCGCAGCTGGGGAGGGGAGGCGGGGAGGCCAGGCGGAGCCCCACGGGGAGGCCAGGGGTGGAGGGGAGGCCAGACAGGGAGGGGAGGCAGGGAGGCCAGGCACAGGCCAGATGGGAAGGGAAGGCTCTGCCCTCCAGGACCCTCCCGCCAAGCTGAGCACCGCACTCGAACTCCCCCACCTTCCCACCCGGGTGTGTGTGTAAAGAAGTGGGCTGGGAGCCCGGCCTGGGTTTCTCCACTCTTCATACACTGCTAACCGGGATGCGACTTCCGGGGGGGTCAGGACCTGTTGACCTGTCTCTGCCTTTGTGAAGTAAGGGGAGAAGGCAGGTCCCCAAAAAGTCCCTTCCCATTTTAGCTCATTCTATAAGGGGTTTATCACCACACTTGAGTACTTCTCAGGGCATTTCTCACTGTGATGAAATGATCTTCTCATAGCACGAGGTCCAGCAGCTGCTTTCTGGCATGCGGGGTTTTATTTCTATCCCGAATTACTCATTTTATATTTAACTTAGATAAACTAGTGAATGAATATTCCTTGGTTTGTAGAATAATACGTCGTTTTTATAAACATTGAATTTTGTGTTTCTAAGCATGAAAACCTGAGCATGCTTCCATTCTGCCTTGATCCGGAAGACTTGCAAGGGATGACAGTACAGGAGGCAGGCCCGCAGGCAGGGCCCGCAGCCAACACGGCCGGCTGCTCACTCTGCCTTGGGCTGTCTGTCCCTAATTCTTTTCTTGTTAAGAATTCTTTGTTTAATTTCATTAATTATCAGTCTTACTATTATTTTGATTTGCTGTAAGGTGCGCACACTTAGCAGAGAGCGAAAGTGGGAAAGCAAGCCTCCAGGTCTGGGACTTGAACAGCTGGCCACATGGGAGCCCAGCACCCTGACCACAGAACTGCCCTGGCCTCCACGGAGGCCGCCATAACGCCACCTGCTGGCCCATCCTTAATTCTTTTTGCCTGTCGGGTTTTATTATTTCAATCTTAACCTTAGTTTTAAAGAGTTTAAAAGTATGCTCCTTCCCTGTGAGACCACCGGGGAGACCGGCCCCGTGTGGGCGTGGTCACCGCAGGATCTGAAGAGCCCACACAGCACCATTTCCAAAAGTGCCCCTTTTGCTCCATGACAAGGTTTGCGCATGGTCTGCTATCTACATATCGTCGAAAAGGAGAGGGGGCATGAAAGCTCCTTCCTAAAACCCTGCAACGTGAGCACGTTCCGCAGGGAGCCGTTGGAGCTGACAGGACGGGATCGGCCAACCACCCCACCACTGGGTCGCATCGCTCTGCCTAAGGACAGAGTCAGATGCTCCCATCTTATCTGGGTAGTGGGAAAATACTAATCAATAAAACGTGCCTCTCAGCTGACCCTGTAGCCTGGTGGTTGAGGGAGCTGATCCCACAGAGCGGGCACTGTTCTAATCTCAGCCCCGGAGGCTTGAAAAATACAGCAGGTACATGTGTGTGCGTGTACGTATGCGTGTGCACCCCGAATCCTGGCAGGACAGGGAAATGGAGGAAAGGGATTCGGGTGTGAACCTGCCCCATGAGGGGTGCTCCCTCTCTCTCTCTCTCTCTGGTGAGCACGTGTGCCCTCTGGCAATCACAAATAAATAAATAAAACAAAATGCGCCTCTCAGGTCTTCTGCATCCAACGAAAGACCTACTCATCCAGTTTCAGATCACCTGGGGCCTGAGCTTGCCTTCGGGAGCTCTCCTTGGTTCAGATCACCTGGGGCCTGAGCTTGCCTTCGGGAGCTCTCCTTGGTTCGGATCACCTGGGGCCGCGACTGCCTCTAGGAACGCACGTGCTAGGTTGGGTGGAGGTACCTGTGTGGGTCACTGGCTGGCCACCAGCCCGGGCCCACGCGAGCCGTGGGGTGGGGAGGCCTTGGGCGTCGCAGCGTAGCAGGACGTTGCTGCCCAGGGCAGACGTGATCTGGGTGGCTGAGGTCATCACCGTCGGCTTCAGGCACTGCTCCAGCTCGGCCCTCTGGAACAGGACGCCCGCGAGGTGCTCGGGCTCGCTGCAAGCCATCAGGGGGTCCAGCAGCACCACCGTGGCATCGGCAGCCTTGGCCAGCTCGATCACCGTGGCCATGTGGCAGTCGCAGAACCAGGGGTTGTCCTGCAGGCCTGGGGGGAGGTACAGTTAATTTGTTACTTCCACTCACATCGCAGCCTCTTTGCTTTCTCGTTTTAAATTTATTTATTTGCATTCATTCACTGTACATTACAGCTTACAAAATATTTCCTTTCTTTTTTAAGAGGCTTTTGCCTTAGGGCACATGGGCTTCCCGGAGGGTGGGAGAAGCAGAGACAGTGAGAGGGAAAGTGAGAAATCAGCCCCTGGGGGATGGCCACGCCATAGTCCCTTTTTCTCCCAGGACCTTGGGCACGCACGCACATGAAGCCACCGGGTCTGGGACACAAACCATGGACAGCCCTGTGGGAGTCCAATGACCCAGCCACTATGTCATCTGCGGGTCTCTCCATCACAGCTTCTTGAAAACACAGGTGTGGGGCCAGCACGTGGCATCACAATTACATCGTTGGACTCCCACAGGGCTGACCACTGTTTGAGTCCTGCGTCTGGTGGTCTGAACCCCACACCGGGCGTGTGTGCATGCATGGCCAGCCCCACAGGGGAGGGGAGAGGAGGGGATTTCTCACTTTTCTTCACCGTCTCTGTCTCTCTGTCTCTCCAATGAATGCAGGCACCCTAAGGCAAAAACGCCTAAGAAAAAGGAAACACTGATGTGGACCTGTCTCCCAAAGCACAGACGCTCTGAGAGACAGCACGGGGCCACCCGTGGCCAGCTCTGCCTGCAGCCCCACAGCCGGACGCCCGTTCCCAGCCTCCGTTCACACCACTTATGCCCGCGGCCCATGTGTGCTGAGCTCAAATCCAGGCTGGGCTCTGTCGCGAGGCCTGCGTGGCCTCGTCTCACCCAGCGACCCCGTGAGACAGACGGCGAGCTACCTGTCGTAAAGAGGAAGACACTGAGGTGCAGGGGTCCGTGTCATTTGTCTGAGGTCACGAAGCTGTCAGAGCAGGAGCAGAGCTGTGACCTAGAACCACCGACACCACCCCTGCAGAGGCAGAGACCCCCAAGTGCCCAGGGGCACTTCCAGGGTCTCAGTGAGACAGAGCTCGCAGGCTGACCCCAGCCCGGGGTCGCATAGGGAGAGAACCCGAATTCTGTGTAGAAAAGCAGAGTGGGGTGCAGGCCACGGCAGGACCGGACAGCGAAGGCTGGCAGGAGGACGTGGCTGGTGTAAAGGCCCTGGGGCAGGACGTGGGGTGGGAGGTTCACTCAGAGCCCCCTTCAAGACTCAGCTGCGAAGCATACAGGACCTGCCTCAGCCCCCGGACCGTGCCCAGGACCCTGCCGGCCCCTGCAGAGGCTACCAGTGAGAGCACAAGGAAAGAGGGAGCATGCTCTGGGAACCGAGGGAAGGGCCTGGCCAGGGGAGGAGAGCCAAGTGCTCCTAGCGAGGGAGGGTGACACGCGGCCCACGGCAGACACAGAAGGCAGGAAACAGGCTCCACGGAATGAGCAGCCCACCGAGGACACTGCCACCCGGAGTGCTGCACTGGGCAGACGCAAGGGGAGACGGCTGCCAGGGAGCTTTGCTAAGAAGGACCCGACTGCTGGGGGGACCAAAGCCCCTTCCCAGCCTCTCGGGGTCAGGAGAGAGACAGCCTCTGTACCATCCCAGGGAGTTGCCTGCTCACCTTCTGCTCTGGGAGACACGCCTCGACCTCCCACGCTAACCTCAGCATTGCCCCCACTCGAGTGTGAGCACCGCCAAGGGGCACCCACGTTCCCCGACAGGTGCCCTTGAAGGACAGTGCAGGAGAAAGGCCCGCAGTGCCTGACTGCATCAGGACAAGCCGCGGTGAGAGACCAGGGACAGCACGTGGCAGAGCACCCAGCACATGAGGGTGTTCATCCTCGTGACAGCACAGAGTGGGTGATGTCACCATCATTCTCCTTCTAAGACGAGAAACGGAGGCTCCGAGGAAGGCGTGTGGCCAAGTACACGCGGTGGAGCACCAGGATTTGAACCTCGGCACCCGGATCTGGGTGCTCCGTTGTTTAACCGCCACGCTGTCTTACACGCTCCGGGAACCTGATGCTGTCCTCCAGTTTCGCCCCGGGGCACCTGGCGTGTTGCAGGGGCCGGCCTCCAGATGGTCGCCACCAGAGCACGGAACTCAGAGCCCACGCCCGCTCTCCTGAACACGAGGACACGGCCACGCTGGCCAGAAGTCCCGTCCTGACAGGTGCCGCGGTGCTGCCCCCTCAGCCGCTGCCGGGACGCCCGCAGAGCTCCCTGCCCAGCCGGCGCCCTCCTCAGTAAACGCGCAGAGAAGGGGCATCGGCCTGCCTGGGCCGCGCTCCTTGGATACTGCGAGCCCAGCCTCCCCGTTAGAGACCTCGTGTGCTCCTGTCTCCCTCGCTCGCCTCCCATGGGTCCTACATTTAGGTCATGCCGGACGCGACACTGAGACATGGAGAGATTACCACCTTAACTTCGCAAGTGGCTTCAAGCTGCACACCCCAGCTGTCCAGCCTCCTAAGCTAGCACTCCTTCCGTCGTAAGTCACCTGAAACATCTGGTCCCGTGGCTGGCAGCGAGGAGCCTACTGCCCACAAATGAAGACGTCAGGCAGTAGGCCTGGAGCTCAAGTGTCCGCACCGGGGAAGACTTAAGAGCTGTAACATTCATGCCTTCATTTAGGCTTTGAAATGAGTATTAAAATGTTTCAACCGCGAAACAGACTTCTTTTAAAAATTAACCCAGGCATTACATCTGAAAGTTATGTAAGCATGGATACACACTTTTTAATCCCTCAAAAATAAAATGTTGATTTATTCTGTCTTTGAAACATCTAAGGTCAAAGCTAAAACTTGAATAAAGTGGCCAGCAGGTGGTATGGTGGTTAAGGCACTAAACTCCCACATGGCTGAAGACAGTTCGACTCCTGCACCTGGCAGCTTGCTTTCTCACTTTCTCCCCCCTCCCCCTCTCGTGAGCACACATGCCCTGTAGCAAATTAAAATAATAATAATAAATTAATAATTATTTGGGAGAAAAAAAAAAAAAAGCCTGGATAAAAATAACCATTGAGGCAGGGACCAGCAGATGGCATAATGGTTATGTTGCTGGAATCCCATGTAGTCGACCCCAGTTTGAGTCCTGGACCCAGCAGCTTAAAACTCACACCAGGTGTATGTGTGTGTGTGTGTGTGTGTGTGTGTGTGCACCCAAAATCCCGAGAGGAGACTGGAGTAGAAAGGAATGTGACATGGCCCTGCCCCGGGGGAGATTCCTCATTTTCTGTCTCTCTGTCTCTCCATCAAACACATGTTCCGATAGCAAAAATCTCTCTAAAAACAAAATAAATAAAAAATAAATAACCATCCAAGCACTGACCATCATCGAGTGTCTTTCTCCCGGGGACAAGGTACGAGAGCTCTGAAGTTAAACCGTGACTTGCTCTGTGCCCCCCGGCGGCGTGCCGCCACCTCAGTCGCCCGCACTAATATCCTTTATGTAGCTCTTCTCGCGGGAACTCCGCTCTATCCCTTTCAAGAAGTAACAGTTTCCACGCCTCGGAGTGAGCGGAGGGTGACATCCGACAAACGTCCGACAAAGGTGCTGAGCGCTGCAGGCCCGCCTCATGGGCTGCTGTCAGGGCTGAGGACACGCGGGCCCTCGAGGAGCCCCCGAGGGTGGGTTTTCCCTGCATGCCTGCGGAGGCCGGGACTTAAGGAGAGGTTGGTGTGTGTTTGTTGAAGTAAACTCACGCCATTTCCAAAACTTCCTTGAGAACGCTCAGGCCACCACTGCCTGCCAGACAAGCTCCATTCGAATAGAAGGGTCCGTGTTGACCGTGGAGTGAATCTAGGTACCCGTGGAAAGTGCTCAGAGGAGCATGTTGCGCGCTTGCCCTCTGAGGCTTTTCCCTCCGAGATAAGCACGTCAGGCCTTACAGCAGCTGCCTGTGTAAATATTTACCTGGCCTTGAGAAAGAGGCCGTGGACATCTACCTGTGCTGCAAATCGGAAATCTCACGTAGGTGCTCACTTGCAGGACACTGTATGTTTTTGTGGATGATTAAAAGACAATGTTACTAAGTTGATCTTTTTATTCATGCGGAAGAAAGAGGGTGATTGAAAAGTTTCTCCCCAAATTCTTTTTTATGAAATAGATGTGTAATTTAGGGAGATCGGTAAAGTAATGCCTATGTGAGGGACACAGCTCTGGTGCTGTTCCACGCCCGGCATTACAAAGAGACGCCTGTGTTCAAACCAGCTCCTCCTCTGTGCGGCTAGTGAATCGGGCGAGTGCTTACCTACTGCCGCATTTCGTCACCTGTGACACGGGGACAACGTGGCACAGCACACAGGCGACAGGAGCCCTGCAAAGACACTCGCCACCGTCAACGGGAGCTCCTCCCGTCCTCGGACGGTGTGCCCTGATGCCATGGCAGGACCCAGGCGTGGCTGGCACAGCGGAGAGGCAGAGAGGGCCGTCAGACTCGCCGCCCGCTGAGCTGCGGCAGAGGCGGCGGTCCAAAAGCACGGCCTCGCCTCCTCACTTTCTAGAGGATGAAACGTAGCATGCTGCCTTCTCCTCATCGCGGACCCACGAGCGAAGCTGAGCAGGCGCGCCGCGTCTGTGCTCCAGAGGAAGTTCCGCATCGCCACACGCGCCGACCGTCCTCTGGGGCAGAGCTTCTTTCCCGCTCGTGACCACAGACCGCTCTGCCGCCGTGGCTCTCTGCGTTGCTGGGGTTAGCATTTCCATTATAGAGGTAATGCGTGCTGGTTACAGGCCATTCCAGAAACAGAGGGAAATGAAAAGGGTCCCACCACCCAAAGAGGACGGTTAGCAGCCAGTGCACCATCATCAGTATTTAGGTTTGCCATGGGGCATGCGCTCTGGGAGAGAGACAGACATAGAGGGGAAGTGAGAAACCACCCCAGGCAGGTGGCCATGCCCCAATCCCTCGTCCTCCATTCCCCTCCCAGGACTCCGGGCACACACACACTCACCCAGTGTGATTTTCAAGCCACCAGGTCTGAGACTTGAACTGCCGTTAGCCACGTGGGGCTCCAACCACCCTAACCTACGGGCACGGCCAGTGTATTTGAAACCCTGACTCTGCACGTTTTGATGTCGTTATGGGCAATGCTTTACACGCAGCCCCAGACCTTGCGTTTCTCCCCTGATTGCCAGAGGACCCGTGGGCTTCCCAGGGAGACAGCAGGAGAGCACCCTCGACCCCAGGGGCACGGTTGCACTGTACTTCTTCCTCCATCCCCCTCCTGCCAGCATTTGGGCACGCACATGCACACACACACCCACACACACACGTGCACACACACACCCACACACGCACGTGCACACACACACACACGCACATGCACACACACCCCCACACACGCACGCGCACACACACACACACACACACGCACGCGCACACACACATTTTCGAGCAGTTGGGGCCAGGATTCCAACCCACGGTCGGCCATGTGGGATCTGACTCCCCTAACCACTAGGCTCTGGGCCAGCCCAGGCTCCTGTGTGTTCAAGGTAATGTCACCACGCACACAGCCAGCACCCCTGACACGGGCAGGCAGGTTAAAAGTGCAAGAAAGCGAATCCCAAAACCTTGGAAAGACCGGATAACGTTTAATCTGCGCAGAGCAGAGCACTCTAAGTGCGAAGCCCGGAGGCGTGTGCACTTACCGAGGACAATTCTTCTCGGTGAAAGGTCCAGGTTTTGGGAAGGAGCCGGCCCCAAGTGGGGCCAGCCATCCAGGAAGTCAGGCGGCAGCGAGGTCAGCCTGTTGCTCGACAGGTCCAGATAGGTGAGATTCCTCAGGTACTGCACCGCCTCGGCGGGCACGCTGGCAAGCCTGTTGTTGTGCAGATCCAGGGTCCGCAGGAGGGGGGTGTCCAGCAGGGATGCCCACGGGAAGGCAGCCAGAGAATTGCCCCCCAGGCGCAGCTCGTGCAGACGCCGCAGGTAGTAGAAGCCGCGGGGGTGCACGCTGGCCACGGCGTTGTACGCCACCCAGAGGGACCGCAGCTCCGTCAGGTAGTAGAAGGCCTCGGCTGGGATGCTGCGCGTCACCGTCTTCTCGATGCGGAGCTTCACAGTGTCCACGGGGAGGTTGGTGGGGACCTCACTCATGTCCAGGTCACTGCACAGCACTGACCTAGAGACAACCGAGCAAGGAGACCCCTCTCCAAGCCTCTGCAGACAGCCCTTACTTGAAGCATGGATAGTGGTCGCCCCCCTGCTAGTGCCCACGAGTGCCGCGCGGTCTGGCCAGCGCCCCACACACGGCCTGTCTGACGCTGGCGACACAGCAGCAGCTGCCATGGGCCTAAACTCATGAAAGGGCGTTTGGGGCGTGCTCGTTCCGTGCAGGACCAGTGCAGCCAGGGCATGCCCATCACCACGTGTTGTCACCTCAGCAACCCTGACAGGCCAGTGCTGGTGACAGGTGACAGCCCGCTCTGGAGGCAGCCCGACCTCCACCCCAGGTAATCCCCGCCACCCGCTCTGGGGCCATGGAAGTCCCTCATCAGTCTCCCAGCCTCCTGTTCCCATGTGACACAGCTGGGATGGACTGGAGCAGACCCAAGCCGTGACACCACCCTGGCTTGTAATAAGCACCCTCCAGGTGTGTGACGCTGTTTCCAACAACCTCAGTTTCACACCTGAACTAACCAAGGCCCATCAGCATTGACAACTTCCCGAGGTTCCCAGCTGCTGGGTCACAGGGCCACTTTTTCCCCCCATAGGGTACATCTGCTTGCCAGAGAGAGAGAGACAGATACACAAAGAGGGGAGGTGGGAAGTCACCCCCCAGCGGGCAATGGCCCCTTCTCCATTCCCCTCTCAGGACTGGGCACGCACACAAGCGCCCGGTGTGAGTTTCAAGCCACTGGGTCCAGGACTCAAGCCTCCATCAACCATGTGGACGTCCAGTGCCTTAACCACCGCAGTGGCCCCTAGAGCCACCTTTCAGACTCCCTGCTGGCCAGCTCCACAGGGCACTGCTCCAGGAAATGGCCCACTTTAAGGAATCCCCTGCTAAAAGTATACATTTTGTTAAGAGGATCACTTTACAGGAAGAAAAGCAAACACTCACACTAGCTGTTTACAGTGGAGCTCTGCCCTGACAGGGTGACCTGTGCCTCGCTTCCCCAGGAGTCACCAGGAACTGCGGGTGTACCTTCCAGCACCTCAGGTGACCCTGAGCAGGTATCGCCGTGGGCTTGTTTGCTGGCATGTGAGAAACAGGCAAGGAAACAAGCCCCTCCACACAGGGAGCCCGATACGAGGAATCTGAACTGAAAAAGCACCTGTTTGTCTCCCATCATTGACTCACCTGCAAAGCATCGCGTGCATTCTAACACTAATAACATTTAGAGCTAATAACAGTGAAAGGCCGCTCTGTAAACATGCGTGTCCATGCATCAGGCCCGTGAGCACAGGGAGAGGTGAGAAGCTCGCACCATGCCACCCAACTGCCTCCCTGTCTTCTCCTCCAGGAGACCAGGGGCACGTCCAGAGCTCTCTCCACCTCTGCCCTGTACCCAGTATTGGTGCTCCTTAGCCAAAACCAGCGGTTTCTCCTCACTCAAGCATCCACACTAGGGTGCGGACAGGAACCCCAGACCTGGAGGACCTGGCCTCTTCATCGCTCAGTCCATAAACCCTTCCCGGCGGAGGACAAGCCAGGTGGTCTCCATTTAGCTTTTCAGTGATAGAATGACAGGGCCTGGTCTGGATTGTTTCTTGAATTCTCGCCAGGCATAATATTCTGTGATTTTTAGAAAATTCATCAATGATCGGGCCACCATGGTCAGCCAGTGGCCTCGTGACTAAGGCAGCTGAATCCCACAATGGCCAACCCTGCGGTTCAAGTTCTAGACGGAGAGCCTGAGAAGCCTGCTGAGAGCATGTGCGTGCTGGGTGAGTGTGCGTGCTGGGTGAGTGTACCTGCTGAGTGTGCATGGTGAGTGTGCGTGCTGGGTGAGTGTGCGTGCTGGGTGAGTGTGCCTGCTGAGTGTGCATGGTGAGTGTGCGTGCTGGGTGAGTGTAAATGCTGAGTGTGCATGCTGGGTGAGTGTGCATGGTGAGTGTGCGTGCTGGGTGAGTGTAAATGCTGAGTGTGCATGCTGGGTGAGTGTGCATGCTGAGTGTGCACGCTGGGTGAGTGTGCATGCCAAGTGTGTGTGCTGAGTGTGTGTGCTGGGTGAGTACGCATGCTGAATGTGCATGCTGGGTGAGTGTGCATGCTGAGTGTGCATGCTGGGTGAGTGTGCATGCTGAGTGTGCATAGTGAGTGTGCATGCTGGGTGAGTGTAAATGCTGAGTGTGCATGCTGGGTGTGTGTGCATGCTGAGTGTGCATGCTGGGTGAGCGTGCAGGGTGAGTGTGCATGCTGAGTGTGCATGCTAGGTGAGTGTGCATGCCAAGTGTGTGTGCTGAGTGTGTGTGCTGGGTGAGTATGCATGCTGAATGTGCATGCTGGGTGAGTGTGCATGCTGAATGTGCATGCTGGGTGAGTGAAAGTGCTGGGTGAGTGTGCATGCTGAGTGTGCATAGTGAGTGTGCATGCTGGGTGAGTGTGCATGCTGAGTATGCATGCTGGGTGTGTGTGCATGCTGAGTGTGCGTGCTGGGTGAGGGTGCATGCTGAGTGTGTGTGTGCTGAGTGTGGGTGCCCACATTTCCAAAAGGAGGGGAAGGGATTCAGATGTGACCCCGCCCCACGGGGCTGATTTCTGGCTTTCCTTCTCTCTCTGTCTCTCTGAGCTGTGCCCCTGCCCTCTGGCAAAACTAAGATCACAATCAGAACATCAGGGCCTGCACAGAGAACAGCGCTGTGGCAGTTTTCTCAGCGCCCTGGTCTGGCCTCACTGAGCTGGCACAGGCAGTGGGGTGGGGCCGTGTGAGCCGGAGACACCGCAGGACGGCTGCAGGTTCGAGCCCCACATCAGCCTCACGGGCTGCGTGTGCCCAAGCTCCTGACGGGCAGCAGGGCTTGGGGGAGGGAGGCCCAAGAACGGTGCTCTCTCCTTTCAGGAAGTAAATACCCGGGGGTGTGCTCTGGCCGGTCATCACCCCGATCACCCCTGGGTGAGCAGCTCTTTGGTGTGCTCATGTTCTTGTTGAGAAAATCTCAAAAGAAACCAAAAATCAGTTGAATGACACTCATTGAACAAGACAAACTATTCACAAATGTTTTCATTATCACTACTTATTCATCGAAAGTTGTAAGACAGATTCTTTTAACAAATGTCCTTGTTTAAGAGACTCACTGTTTACTTCAACCAAGTCACAAATAAACTGATTTTGTTATTAAAAAATAGAAAGGAAATCCGAGGTCGCCTGCAGTTTAGTTAGCAGAGCTCTGATTTGCATGTCACTTGCTCAGGGGCTCTGTAAGGTCACAGCCACCTGCTCTCACCTCACCAGGACAGGCCCGAGAGGTGGCATGACCTCCAAGAGGCCTATGAGGTCCGGCGATGTCCGGAACTGACCATATTTTTCTAACTTCTTTACTTTGTAAATTCCATTAGCTCAGAATGAAAATGCCTAATTTTGAAGCATTGGATTGCACCCTCATGACCCCCGTTCCCACAGGCAGCTGGGTGGGCAATCCTCGGAGGAAACCGAAAACCCCGACGGCAAATGGCACCCGCTCGAGCTACCCTCTTCGCTCCCTACGGTCAGAGCTGAGCTGGCCACACACTGAAAGGGGCATTTTGTGAATACGGATGCAGTGAATATTTTTGTGACCCAGCTCATGTTTGGAAGCCTTCATTAACTTGAGAGACTTGTACAGTTAAACTGCTCGATGCAAACCAGTGAAGGAGTTGGCGCCATTATGGCAATTCAATTAAAGTTTCTGCAGAGTAAACCTCTCGTCTCCGGGTTCCAACAGTGCTCAGTCAAGCTGTCTGTGGGGCCCTGGTGGGATACGGGGACCCAGGAGACCCATACCTCGAGCCCGTGTCGTCGCTGCTGCCGGCGTAGTCGCAGGTGCACTGGGACGGACACGAACAGCCTGCCGCTCCCAGCAGGCCCAGCGTGATGCTCAGGCGTGCAAGCAGACGCATGGCTCCGTGGAGGGCACCGGACGAGCAGGCCAGTCAGGTCCTGAGCGGTCAGAGCGGTCGCTGGGAGTGCGCACGGCGGCTTGGTGGCTGCGGATTACGAAGGATTAGCCAGTACCCGGAATCACCTGACCTCCAAGTGTGTCTCTCAGGGGCGCAGTCCCCCAGCCGATGGCTGTGATTTCTGCAAAGTGACACGCTCTCCAGAAAAGGAACGCCGACATGTGTCCAAACAGTGTCCATAGCTGCCCACGTCAGGTTCGCAATGAAAGCCTAGCCGGTCCCTTCCCTGGGACGGAACTGCCACTACAGCTGGAAAAGATGCATGCTGTTTAAAATGACTCGGCCACTGCAGAGACCAGCAAGTTCTGTATGCTGTTTACACAGCGTGACATTGTACATTGTTTAAGAATTATCTTATTTAAATTTATTGTTTTAATTTGACCAGAGAAGGACAGAATGAGAGAGAGAGAAAGTGAATTGTTTAAGAATTATTTTATTTAAATTTATTGTTTTAATTTGACCAGAGAAGGACAGAATGAGAGAGAGAGAAAGTGAATTGTTTAAGAATTATTAGGAAAAGGGCAGCCTGCCAGGCCCGGAACTCAAACCGTGGTCGGCCATGTGGGAATCCAGTGCCCTTAACCACCACGCCACCTGCCGGCCCCAACATTATGTTTCAGAATTGTTGCTGGCCTCTTTCCAGCATCTATATCTATTTTACAAAACTTAGCTTTAAAAACAAAGCAGGCCAAGATCAGCAGTTGACGTAATAGCTACATCTCTGGACTCCCATGCAGTCGACCACAGTTCAAATCCCAGACCCAGTGGCTTAAACTCACGCTGGGCGCATGTGCATGCGTGCCCAAGATACCAAGAGGAGAATGGAGGGGAAGGGATTGCGGTGTGGCCATCCCCCCTGGGGGTGATTTCTCACTTTCTGTCTCTCTGTTTCTCTGCTTCTCTTTTTCTGGTGAGCATATGTGCTCTATAGCAAAAACCTCTCAAAAAAAAAAAAAAAAAAAAGAAAGAAAGAAAAAAAAAAGCAGGCCAAGATGTGATCTTACCACTGAGACACTGCTCGTGGGTCAGCCCTGGAAGGACGGCATGGTCATTCGTGTGTGATCCCAGCTGGGAGACTGAGGCAGAGAATCCTGACCCAGCAAGGCACTATCTAAAAACGAATAAAAGGGCCGGCAGGTGGTGTGGTGGATAAGGGTGCTAGACTCCCACATGGCCAACCATGGTTCGAGTCCTGGACCTGACAGCTTGCTTTCTCACTCTCTCTCTCTCTCTCTCTCTCCCTCTCTGGTCAAATTAAAATAAATAAAGTTAAATAAAATATTTTTTAAAAAGAATAAAAATAAAACTAGAAGGGCAAGACATAAGCTCTAAGGAAAACAGACTTACCGATTTGTCACACACTGCAGGCCACTAAAGGCGAGTAGCCCTGGGGCCAGCAGGTGGCGGTGACTAAGCACTGGACTCCCACACACTGACCTCGGTGCGAGCCCTGGACGCAGGGACTTGGAACTCATGCCAGGCATGTGTGCGTGCGTGCCCCAGATCCCGAGGGGGGTTGGGGTGTGGAGAACCACAGAAACGGTCAGGCCTACGTGACAGGTGCACATCATCTCATTCTCCTGGATGGCTCCAGCCATCAACTTTGAAACCAAAACCTTTTAAAAAGGAAAACCAATTCTACACAAATAAGAATATTATGTCAAATATTGATATTACTTCAAACTAACAGAACTCACATGGAAACAACAGAGTCTAGAAAGCCGTGTCCAGTCGAAATGAACATCGACCGACCGGATGGTGCCCAGTCATGTTGCCCGGCGTTTGCTGAACACCTACTCTGCCACGTGGCCGCGTGTGGGGCTCCAGAGGCGGCCGAGGCATAGTGGCTGCACAAGCGAACACAGAACTGAGGCCACAGGAGGGGACACACACACCACAGGACGTCAGTGGTACCTGGGCTGCATGTCCCCCTACGGAAGAGTCAGGAAGAAGAGCGCCCAGAGGCAGAATGGTGGGACCACAGGACAGAACAGACAGTGTTACCTGCAGAGAGCAGGCCCTTCCTGTCACTAAGGCCTAGGAAGTTTACTGGGGGAGGAAGCTGGAGAGGTGAGCTGCGGTGACGGTGGAACCCTTAGGTCCCCTCACAGAGCTTGGCCTGGGCAGGAGTGGCAGCGGGAGGCCTGCGGGGCCCCTGACGGCTAGTGTCAGGCAGGGGAGTTGGGGCAGGGCCGGCAGGGCAGAGAGGCCCGGGGCTGGCTGCGGTGACAGTACAGGATCGTGGACAGCTGTGCTTCAGGAAAAGTAGGTCAGGAGTCGCCCGGGAGCCAGAGATGCTTGACCCAGGAGAGGCGG